AAGTTTTTCTTCAAAAATAGGTTTTTGCCGAATGATTTTCAGGAAATTACATGTAAGTTTGCATTAAATTTACACTTTCGAGGTGTAAGTTTACATCAAACTTACACTAAACTTAAACATCAAAAATGTAAGTTTACATCAAACTTACATATCAAAAGTGTAAGTTTGCATCAAAGTTACACTGAAAAGCGTAAGTTTACACTTGTAAGTGTAAGTTTGGTGTAAACATGCACCTCATGCATGTAAGTTTTCATCAAACTTACACGTGTGCATGCAAGTTTACATCAAACTTACACCTCAAAAATGTAAGCTTGATGCAAACTTACATCAAACTTACACTTTATTTTCCCGGAAAATCACTTAAAGACAGTATTTTCCAAGAAAAAATCTTGTTTTTCTCAGAAAATGATGATTTTTTAAGCTTGATGGAGACATTTTTTCATGTTACACTGTCCAGGTTTCCAGAAAAAACAAATGAAACCAGTCTGGCAACCATTTTTTCCTGGAGGAATCACTACAGTCTGCAGCGGAGTGTATCTGATGTGAGCCCCTGCAGTGTATCCCACAACAAGTACCTGCATAACAGCGCATTATTTCTGTAATCATGAGTGTCATCTAAACCACTTGGGTTTTTGTTTTCAGGAGATAGGCTTTAAATCTGGGACGGTTCAAGTGATTGATTAGCTGTGGGCTCTGGGCTGGCGCTATGGTTTGTGAACAAACTTGATGACTGGAGAACACCAAATCATAGGTAAACTCTGGGTTTGCCTACCTCCAAAAATATGAAGGCTATCTAAAGGAAAAAAATGTCAAGGCTGGAGAGTCTCCTAGGTGATTCTTAACCTTTGGGTTGGATTTTTGATGAAAAAGGTTTGAGGGATGGAGGCCCCTCAGTGGTTGGTCTTGGGGCTGGATTGTTCAATTTTTTGGAGAAAAAACGCGTGAAGACAACCAGCCTTCGCCAAACATTTGTTCAAACATATTGTTGCCCACCAGTAGTTTCCCCCCCAAAAGACACCCAGTCTTGACAGTTTGTGTGTATGAATTTGTTGTTGCGCAGCATTCAAACTTATTTCAAAAAGTGCCCTTCAAACTTGGTTTTTGCCAATAATTTGGGGTTTTGCAGTCTCCAAATGTCATTCAAAAACAACAAGCCCGTGGATGAACAATCGCTCCGGGACCTGCAGCTGGTCACTAAGGCACAGTTTTTGTAGCAGAAAAATAAGCAAACACACCAACAGTGTTTTTGGAAATTCAAAAACTGGGTGGCTGCCAAAAAACACACACACACATGAACACCCATGAACACAAATTAAATGAGCAATGAGCACCAATGAATTCACATGAACTCCTTTGAACCTCAAAACCGATGCAGCTGATAAATTACATTTTGTAGTGTTGGTTTTGCATGTCTTGATGTAAAATATGTTCTTATTGGGCGGGTTTCCTTGCCCAAAAGTGTTAGCTGGTTTCGTTGGGTCCACGAGGGCACTTGCGGAGCCGGGTTTTTGGGTATAGAAAGGCATGCGCGAAGATCCAACAAAAAAAATAAAGTGTAGCCCCGGAGTTAGTGTTTTCTGTTTTTGGTGTTTTATCCTGTGCTGGCTTGGCGCCCCGAAAACTATCCATCGCCATTGTTGCAAAACATGTTTTGTTACATGTTGTTTTTTGACATATGTTTTCTTGTTTCCATGCTGTGTTGGTTTGCTCCATCCAAAATATTTCTACTGAAATTTTCAGATTCACCTTAGCATAAAAAGATTCACTTTAGCACAAACATATTCACTTCAGACCCACATATATCCTGAGTAAACAAAATATACATTACTCTATATCACTCACAAAACAATGAACAAACACATGAGAAAATATTGGCCAAACAACATATATAGTTTCAAATATATGTCAACGTAGTTTTAAATTTCAAAAATCTAACGCGGAAAAGATTGTGTCTGAAGTTTAAAATGTTCAAAAAATAGCTTTGTTCAAAGAAGAACAAAGCGTTAAAAAACAAAGTTTTTGGATTATTCAACTAAATAGATTATTTAGGCAAACAGGCAAACAACCTCATAGTCAGAAAATGAAACAACCTAATAGATAGAATTTGACCTTCAAAACTAAAATAGCCTAATAGATAGAAATTAGCCTAACCTGAGTTTTTGGGTGGGGCCTCCGAGCAACGGAAAGCAGGATATCGCAACAAAATGCCAAACCAAAATGAAAAAAAGAACTTTCCACATTGACCAGATTTACGACATGAAAAATATGAATTTTCAATTTTGCCTCCAAAAAAATGAACTTTCAGAAAGAAAACAACGAACAAAAGTGAAAAAAATAACAGTTAATTTGTTCATTTTTTTTTTTTTTCATTTTTTTCATGTCGCAAATCTGGTCAACATCGAAAGTGTATTTTTTTCATTTCGCAAATCTGGTCAACATCGAAAGTGCATTTTTTTCATTTCGCAAATCTGGTCAACATCGAAAGTCCATTTCTTATGTCGCAAATCTGGCCATAATCAAAAGTTCATTTTTATTTTGCAAATCTGGTAATCATCAAAAAAGTTCATCTTTTTATTTCGCAAATCTGGTCATCATCAAAAGTTCATTTTTCATTTTGTGTTCCAAATTGTTTGTTTTTGCTTTTGTTTCAATACTTCGTCACATGTGGAAATTCATTTTCAAGAAAATACTCATGTTTAAACAACCACTTTTCAAAATAAGAGATTTCCAAACCACCATTTTTCAAAATACCAGGTTGACAAACACCCAGTTTTCAAATGAAAGCAAGAAAAAAGAAGGAGAAAAAGCAGAACAAAATGAAAAAACTGTTTTTTAACTTCTACCAAACGAAGCCGCACAAGGAACTTGCAAGTATAATGCCAATGAAATCCCAACAAATGCAAGATACCGAGCGCGGTATGGCAATAACCTTGTTCTCACGGTGTTGCACCATTTTGCCCTCGGGTCATGTGATGAAGAGGCAGATATTCCTGATGAAGATTTGCATTCACTTTTTCAACAGTGGGTGAAGAAGGGCATACCGGTGCATGCGGCTACACCGCCCCTTTATTCATTCAGGCTTGAGAATTCTGTCCCTCCTCCATCACTGGTGCATGAAGTTCAAAGCAGGGATGACATCGGTCAAATTCCCATTGGACATCAAGATCTGGAATGGCTTGACAGCTGTATGAGTTTTTTCAAGTGTGGTCTGCGGTGGAGTGTGAAGAAGAAGGCCCCACGGCATACCTTCAGACCTGGATGCTGAGAAGGCAAACCAGAAAGTTCTTTGAACGGTCAAGATGGATCAATTGAATGATTGATGGCCGGCCAACATTGTTGATGCTTGGCAGGCCCTGCTGCTGCTTTACTTACCTGTGAACATCTTGTTTGTGTATCCCAGACCACCCATGTCTTTTTTTCAATCATTTATGGCTCATGTGATTGTGACCCAAGAGGAGAACCTTGATGAAAACCCAGTCCTCGTCTCAACACTTTATGATGGCCACATGTGTAATATGCTCACGCATTATGCCATTATGGTGCGAGCCGTGTCAACGCCTGCGCAGCTGGTGATGCAACTGCCCGTTGTAAGGCCGTGCGCCATTCGTGAATGCAAGGGTGTGGTTGATGATCGACCGGTGTCATGGGAACAAAATCGTCAATGGGGTGAGGGACAATCGATAAACATAGATGTTGACGTGCCACCTGGGTTCCCTGCCGGTTCCAGCCGCATTGATGTAGATAGGCAAACCTATGTGGTTGCACCTGAGGATGAGGGTGATCCATCACTGCTGCAAAGGTCTATTGGGATTCACAAACCTTTTTCAAAGCCACATGCCAAATCAAATGCCCATGTGAGTAATCCTGTGGTGCTTTGTCTTGATGCTGCACTTCCTGTGCACTCGATGCAAGCTGCAGATCATCAAATGTCCAGCATTTCGTTTCAGCCCAGTGTTCCATGGGAAGAACTGATTGAAACAGCGCAGATTGCATTCAGTTCGGTGCCAGAAGGATGAGAGTGAAACCAGCAACGATGCAAGCGTTTGCATGTTCTCCTGTCACTGCCTTTCCCTACAAAGCAATTTGAGCTCTACGTTGATGGTGCTGCATCCAATGGTCGAGCTGGGCAGCAGTCGCTATTTTGTACGCTGACACGGGGATGCCCAAGGTCAAAGGAATTCTCTCTCGGGTTTGGTAGAAACTGCCACCTATCACCCCGAATGGATAGGTGCAGGAAGTTATGACAATATTGCTGCTGAGTTGTCCGCTGCCCTCATTGCTCAGCGCGTTGCCCTGCGCAAACCGTTCTCATTCGCCCCTGATCTTACCCTTGGTGCCAGAATTGCGGAAGGATGCTGGAAGTGCAAAACCTATCACAAACTGGCACAGATTCTTCACTGGACTGGCCAGATTTCATGCCAATGGGGGTCAATACCTTGAAGTCAGGGGCCATCGTGATGCGCCATGGAATGACTTGGCTGGCCGGTAGCAGTGTAGACTTTAAAAAATCAAATTCCTGTCGATCGCATTGATGTGTCCACCATCAGCCACCTCGCTTTTGGGTGACTGGCCCCATCAAGTGGTTCAAGACACTTCGCTCATTATGTGACACTTGACCAATGTATCTTCCAATGCGATGCACAGAAACCAACAACACTCATGTTGATCAGACTTCCTCAGCGAGTTCAAGACCTCGATCGCGAAAATTTTTCCGCCAATGATGAACAGAGCAATTGCGGATTGTGTCCTGGAGCTCGCGCAGAGCGGGTGGAGCCCCTCCAGCAATGCATGGCAGACCTCTTCTGCGGCGATTTTGTTTCCCGTGAAACTGTGCAGAAGGATTTTCACCGATGAGTACAGCCGCGCAGAACTGCACAAAGATGCAAGCGAACCCAAGCAGGACTCTCCTGCAGCATCATGAAAGTGAAAAGTTCATTGGGGCACCGTGATTTCAGCCAGTTACCATATTGATTCAACTTCCATCAGCTTCGATTCCGGAGGGGCCTCAGCCGCTGGACAACTACACCTCGCGAGACTGCAGCTTCCATGGTTGTGAGGATGTAGATGCGGCCGTGGTGCTTCAGAACCTTGACACGTAACAGCATTGCTCCAAAAACCACACCTGTGTTGCAAACATTCCTGAAGTTACTACAAAAGGTTGCGATTTTCCTGCCTTTTCTGATCATACAAAAAGTAAAGTAATTTGTCTTGGTTCTACAATCGAATGTTCCCCAAACCGGGTCCACTTTGGATAAGTTTGTGGATGTTGCATTCGGTGTTGCAAGGGGGAAGTTGGTTTCATAGCAGAACATCGCACTTTGGTGTTTCCCTGTTTTTCATTATACGATGTGTTGGGGACGGTGACAACATGATATACATATATACATATATACATATATACATATATACATACATACATATATGCATATATACATATATACATATATACATATATACATATATACATATATACATATATACATATATACATATACACATACATGCATACATGCATACATGCATATATGCATACATACATGCATACATTCATACATACGTACATACATACATACATATATATATATATATATATGATTTACATATACATGTAAAAATATAGAATACTGTTCGCCTTGCAGCTGTGCCGTCATGTTGTCCGCAATGTGCGCGGATTTTTTTCATGCACATGAAACCATCATTCCGAGACTCGTTGCAGCATGTTGATGTAAAATGCGATGGATCTATGTTTACTAAATTGTGCGTGGCTGTTTGTTCTTCATTTTGTTTCCTCCTCTTGGTGAAACTTCCTGCCAATCTAGTCTACAAAAGCTTGCCTAACCCTGCGAGGGCGTGGATGACACATTTTCTCTTTCCACTTCCAACACACTGCATATGTCAAGACTTTCTTCCGAGAAGTTTCTTTGAACATGAGAACTGCATGGTTACGGTGTTCTCCTTTTTGTGGCAGTCTTTGGAACCCAGTTGATCTTACGAAGGCTGAAAACACCAACGTACCAAGTTGAAACTTCTATGCGAGCCCTTCACCGGAGAAGCACACACGGTGGCTATGGAGGTGTTCGATCGTTTGAATGATGTGGCCGGCGAGGAAAACTGCAATTCGTTTGAATGTTTCAGTCCAACTTGGGCTGACCGAGTTGCAGCAGATGCCTGAAAGTTCCGTGCATATGTTCTCCACGCAAAGTTGTTTCGAACCTCCAAGATCTCCAGCAAGTACTCAGGTGGCAGGTTTTTGCCGCCCAGTTCCGCTCATGTCCATCCACCAAAAGGGCATTCGACTGTTTCAAAAACATCCGGTCACATTTTTCGGAAATTGGTTCCAAGATCAATCTTCACTAGCATCGCATATGTTTGTGGCGGGTTTTATCTCACCATGCGAATGGCTGCAACCCGATGAGACAAGGAAAGACCTCAGAGCCACGGCCACGATGACGGCGCCTTGGGACGCCTCGGATCCGCATAAGTCTGGCTTCCGGCGTTGGCGCTACCGGCGCATCCAGCGCATCCGGCGACGTTTTCAGCGATATGGACAACGTGGCTTGGAGTCAAGTCTGGAGTCAACTGTGATAGAATTCAAAAAAAAATGGCTGCTCTTTCTGAAGTGATGCCCTTACACATGATCCCGGATTAAACCCAGGATCATATTCCCATAGGATCATGTTCCCATAGGGATGGTCATGAAGCCCTTGATAGGTTGGAAAAGCCGAAGAGCCACTATGAGGAATCTCATTTTCGTTGCGATGACCATACCTGAGATAGGAGATATGTTCTTGAAGGATGCCACGCATGGGAATGGGTCCTATGAAGCCAAAAGTTTCAGGATCCAGAATCTAGGGCACGGAGGACCAGGGCCAGGGTTCTGTGCCGGATGATTTTCCATGTGAAAGCCTGCTGAAAGTTGTTGACCTTCCTACCTCAGAGAGCGGCGTATCTGTTTTGATTGGCTTTGTTTGAAGCCTTTAACCCAAACCATCCGACGGAAGTTTTGCATCAGCTTCACACACATTTTCCATGTTTGAAAAATGCCCACCAATTCTGGTGATTTTTATTTTTTCCCAAGTAGTGAGCACTCCATTTTGAGGCTCATGATGCTACCAGACTTGCGGCTACCGCTTGCACCAAGGAACGAAGCCGGGAACATTGACGACTCTTGAAGAGATCTAAGAAACCCCAAGACCGAAAGTACAAAATGTTCCGGGATGTTGATGCAAAAATCAACATTTCCATCTTTTGGGGGCTTCAAAAAGCTTCAAACACATTCAGCCGATTCACCCGCCAAGCTTTTGGGAGTTGATGGGGCTTGACCTCCCAAAGCCTGGTCCCAAGAATGGCATGACCGCTCCCAGGACCACGAGCACGCTGCCGATTTGTGAGGGCACAAAGTCGCCTGGCGTGCGTGGAACATGATTTCAATGGGATGTTCCTATAATATTCTTCAGGGCTTCAGGATGTTTACTAAATGTAGGGGTTTCTGATTAGAATTTTCCTTAGAATCCTCTGAGACTTGATGATCGATTGTTTGGAATACTTGAAACAATGCACATGTCTCCACTTAAAGCCCAGATCTTAGGCCTCTTTGATGTCGTTTGTATAGCCATACCTAAAACCACTTCATTGCTTGTGGCGTCCACAATTAGGCTCCTTTGGGTGACACCCGAGAAATTCTGAGGACTGTCCAGAATCCTTTGGTCGTGGGGACATCGATTGGGCCACAAAACGGAAGTCGCAACACTACTAACACCACCATCAACTTCACAGAAAGTCTTCCCTGCGTCATCTCCGGTCGTGTCCTCTTGGACGTGGGAAAACGATTCAGTACCTCTGCCACACCATGGAGCTGCCATAGCCTTGTAGCAAAGACCAGACATGGTGCATTTGCTAGGCACTGGCCTACATGGAAAATGTGTCAACACCAATTGCTTGGGGTAATAAATATCCAAAAACACAAAAATAACATATATATATAATAAGATATAAGATATATATAAAATATAAGATATAAGATATAATATTTAAGATATATAAATAATGAAGACATGTACATACCATATATATATATACATATATATATCATATATATATATATATCATATATCCCTTTTGTGCAGTGTAAAGATCCAGGGGTTTAGCATGAGCCCGATGTTACCTTTCGGCTCAAGTAAAATAGAGCTCCGCAGCTCGATATTGCGTTTTAATGGTAGCGCGTGAGCCTGGTGAGTCCGACACCGACTACGAGTTGAGGCAAAGAGACAACAGGCATAGCAAGTCGAGGTGTTTAGTGAGTAGCTCCTCAGAGGGAGGAGGAGGAGCAAGGGAGCCGAGCGGCTGATTCAGCCGCCGGCACGGAGCTGGGAGCGGCTGGCCCGGCCGCCCCAGCAGTGATAGTAGAAGAAGAGGAAGAGAAGGAAAAAGAAGAGGAAAAGAAAGAAGAGGAAGAGAAAAGAGAAGCCCCAAAGAGAAGGAAAAAGACCAGAGAAAGCCCTAAGCCCAGTGCAAAGCCCAAGATCGGATTCTACAAACCCCAACAAAGTTATCCAGGTGGACACTTTCAGATTGAGACTGCAAGGTCAGCAACTTCGCCTGGTGGTACAAGGAGACCAGCCGTAACTTTGATTGGGTTTGCAAATCCAGCAGAACAGGAACCGACCCGACCCAGACATACCAGGTCCGAGGCTTGAGAAGCCAGTCTGAGGTTCGACACGGTTCAGGTCCAGATCCATCAGAGCGGTTGGAGTTTGTTCCAAGACCGCCTAGAGAGAGCCCAGCACCGGACGCGCCGTGGAAGCGTCCAAGTGCGAGTGAGTTGAAGAGAACTCACTCTAAAGGCTTCAGGCTGAGGTCCGCTCAGTCCCGCCAGTATCGCAACCTCCGAGGGCAATTGAGGCTTGCGAAGAAACAAGGAGTGAAGGTGGACCGTGGGCTGAAGGACCAGATTGACAGGTTTGGAAAAGGGCGACAGGAGACTTTCAAGAGGAATCCAATCCGGTTGAAGTCAGTTTCAAGACATCCAATTCGACTTCGCTCTGTGGCAAAGGCAAAGGCAAAATCTTCAAGTGCAAAAGCCAAGCCAAGGCCAAAAGCGAAGGCAAAAGCAAGAGCAAGGACTTTAGCCCGAGACAGAGTGCGAGGACCCGCAGAGGTTGGGCTCAAGGTGCACGGACGTGCCCTGAAGCTGAGTGAAAAGATCCGGAAGTTGGCCAACAAGTGGGCTGCGACACACCAACTTTCAGCCTACTTCCTTGAGAGCCCGTTCCAGGTGAGGCACTTAGCAGCAAGACAGCTCCAACAGGAAATTGGAGCTAAGGATACGGTGGCAGCAGCGATCGTCCAGAGGCCAAGGCTGATCCTGCTGTGTAAAGCAGCGCCGCAGCGGCTTGGAGAGCCGCAGCGAGCGGACGCTTCGTCCGCCAGGAGTGAAAAGGAGTAACTGAGTAACACCTGTCCATTGGTAAGGGTAACATGGAGCGACAAATCCAAGAATTAGCAGAGACCATCCAACAACTTAGGCAAGCCCAACTAACCCTAACCGCCGAAAATGAGCGGATGAGAGAGGGTCAGGCAGGTGTTCAGGCATTAGCACAATCCGTAGGTGAGTTGGCGCAATCTTTGAAAAGGGATACCACGGATAGGAAAATCCTCATGGACACCAAAGATTTGGGTAGACCTGAAGTGTTTGACAACAAAGAAGAAAGTTTCAGAAGGTGGATTCGGTCAATCAACAATTTGGTTGCAGGGGTATTTGGTTCAGACTACGACAAAGTTTTGGAAAGTTGTTTGGATTCAGAAGACCCCATAGACTTTCAAGATTTAGCCGACAATCGACACCCCGATGTAGATGGCATAGAAAAGGTTGGAGAACAACTGTATCGGGTGTTGTGCCACCTATGTATTGGGGAAAGTGAACCTTGTTGTTGGAGCTGGTAATGGCTTTGAAGCCTATAGGAAGCTTTGTAGGAGATGGGACCCCGCCACAAGCGGGAGGAAAAGAAACCTCCTACGGGCTATGCTAAATCCAGAGCGGTGCAAAACGTGGGCTGCCGTGAGGCCAGCCATTGAACAGCTGGAAGACTTGGTGAGGAGATACGAAGCTCGGAGGTCAGCATCAGGGACCTGGGAGTTGTTGAGTGATGACATCAAATCAGCATCTCTAGAACTTTTGGTTCCAAATGACCTTGAGAAGCACTTGATCCTTGACAAAAATCGTTTGACCACTTACGAATTGATGAAACAAGAAATTGAATTGGTAGTGTATGTTCAAAGGGATCTGTAACTAGACCGGGACAGGCTTCAAGTAGTTCAGGACCCCAACCAATGGATGTTGATTCCATAACCCAGTGGATAGCAAGTTTAGTAAAGGGTCAGGCAAAAGGCAAAGGAAAGGGCAAGTTCAAAGGTAAGGAAAAAGGAAAAGGAAAAGGCAAGGATAGTAGCAAAGGCTCAAACGGCTCAAACCCAAACCGAGACAAGGACATAGTTTGCCACGATTGCGGCAAGAAGGGTCGTAGACAAGCAGACAGCTGGAGTAAGAAGAGAGACAGCAAAGGCAATCAGAAGGGCAATTCACAGGGCAATCAAAAAGGTAAAAAGCATGTATCGGGGCTAGAAAATAGAGAGTCAGCGGAAGCGGGTGCTGAGCCCGCGCCGGAGGCTGACGTAGGATTGATTGAGATAGGAGCAATAGATGGAAAGGTTTGCACACCAGCGGCTGCTTCAGCCGTAGAGGAATGGGTGAGATTCAACTTGGATACAGGAGCCACGCAGACAGCAGTCCCAAAAGATTGGGTGGATGATAAGGTCACTGTCACCGGTAAGAAGATTTTTTGTATAGGGGGCTTCTGTTGTTGCAAAGGTTCCAAATAATGGGGATTTCAATTTGACTTAGTGGTATGCTATGGTTTTGGTCTAATTGTTTCTTTATCTTTGGTTTAGTTGTTTTCAGCTTTCTTTTACATTTCTCAGATTCACATAAATCTATCTGTCATTGTATTTCCTCTTTATTTCTTCGTTTCAAGAATCTGTTGTATTTTTCATTGCTTCTCTTACCTCATTCTGTTTCATTCTGTCTTGCTAATTCTTGTACTACCTCTGATTTTTTCTAGGGTTCAGAGTGTGTGTATCTATATATATATATATATACTTATATACATATATGTTGTTTATATTCTGGATTGTTTTCTCTCATCCTTAGGCTTACTTCTATGATAACATTGATTATTTTCTTTATTTTTTGTTGCTTCCTGATATTTTTTATGTAATGTTTTTCTTTGTGCATCTTTCCCTTATTTTGTTCATGTCTTCATTTTCCCTGCTTTCCTTTTTGGATTTACATAACTACTAGTTTTTGGGTGTCTTCATTCCTTCTGTGGTTGTAGTTGCTTTTTCTTTTGCACGTTCTAGGTTTGTGTGGCTTGGTCTGTTGCTTTGTTGGTTGATTTCTGGTGGTGCCTCTGTAATTTTGTAATGTCACATTTCAATGTAATGCTGTTAAAATCTCAAGAATGTATGTATGTCTATGGATCTATCGTTGTACCTATCTATGTATGTATGCATGTATGCGTGTATGCATGCATGTATGTATGTATGCATGCATGCATCATGTATCTATGATGATCGTTTGTTTGGTGGGGCACGTGAGACTGCCATGGGTGGATGGGAGATGGCAGCCGGAGCCAGCAGGGTGCAAGAGAGCCAAGTGAGGAGAAAGCTCCCAGGTGGCTTGGGGAAGGGCAGAGCATTTGGGTGGAGCTGTAAGAGTGTTCAAGATGTGGTGGGCCCAAATGAGTGCCTGTTTGTTTGCCCTAAACCTTGTCACGAAAGCCAGCCGCTAGGCTAGGCGAAGTTATTTTTGCGAACAAAGTGAGTTTAGGGGGTCTGGGGGCAGAGCGCCCCGAAACGGACACAAATGAGGAAATTAGGTGGTAAAAAAGGTGGACCGAGGTAAACTTTTTTAGGGTTATGTACCAGGTGGCAATTGGGTGACGGTGGGGTATCGATTCCCCCCTGGTCCGCCCTCCGAGCTCGACTTGGGGAGATTGCAATGGAGGGGAAAATGATGAGAAAAACAATGGAAAAAATGAGGGAATATGACATAAAACAATTGGAAAAAAATGGAAAATTTGAGTAGAACGCTTGGAAAATGATGCCAAGTATAAAATAAAAGTAAAAGGATGGAAATTGATGGGGTGGAAAAACAATGGAAAAATTGAGGCTCCGATGTGGGACCATTATCGCGTAAAGCACGCGTGAAACAATGGAAAAGCAATGGAAAAATTGCGGTTTCGATGTGTGACCACTATGGAGTAGAAGCACGGAAATAAAACCATGGAAGAAACGAGCAAAACCGTTTATACGGTGCAACGGTAGGGATTCTGGGAGGTGCATTTGGGTAAGCGTTAGACACACTGAGATAATATTCGGGTAATGATGGAGAAATCGAGTAACACCATGGCAAAACACTGGAAAAATTGATGAGATGGAAGAAGGCTCCGATGTGGGACCATTATATGTGCAAGAAGAGTTTCTGGGTGAAGAGTCTTTAGGTGAAAAGTATATGGGTGAAAAGTATGTGCAAGAAGAGTTTCTGGGTGAAGAGTCTCTGGGTGAAAAGTCTGTGCAAGAAGAGTTTCTGGGTGAAGAGTCTCTGGGTGAAAAGTATATTGGTGAAAAGTATGAGCAAGAAGAGTTTCTGTGTGAAGAGTCTCTGGGTGAAAAGTATATGGGTGAAACGTAGGTGCAAGAAGAGTATCTGGGTGAAAGTATATGGTGAAAAATATGTGTTTCTGGGTGAAGAATCTCTGGGTGAAAAGTATATGGGTGAAATGTATTGAAGAGTCTCTGGGTGAAAAGTATGGTGGAAAATAGGGGTAGATGGGATGCTGGCTTTCGTTCCCCCCTTCTCAGGTTTTCTTTTTTGTGGGGGGTACCCATTGCAGCTA